CTTACGTGCGAGGAAAAAAAAATAGAAATCACAATATTTCAAGTATTTAAAGTAGACACTATAAGTTTAGTAATTGTCTTGTGTTTGCGTGATGTGTAAAAGCACTACTGTGTAACGAACGTCTCTATTGATAAAACTAACAACTAAACTGACACTAACTGTGCATAGTGTCTAGTGTAGGTAAAATTTCTCGTTCACTATTTTGAAATTCCATAGTCAGATGAATTGTCAATTGCAATTGCAATTGAACTGTTATTGGCAAAATTACTCTTCAATACTAACTACTCTAGTTATTTAAAATCAACGTGTTTACCTGACATAAAAGCAAAGCAACCGCCGCCACCCCTCACCCTCCAACCAGATCGATATTGCCTTCTGAAACTAGTCCAGTAGTGTATTGACAAAAGGGAGGAGTATGAGTTGATTAGGCTTGTTGTTTTTTTTTTTAGATGACAGTTCACAATCAGTCTCAACAAGTCCCAAATGAAATGTACACAATTTGCGTACTGTTTTAAAACGTTTTTGGCATTGAATGCTAGTTTTTCTTTTCGACGAAGTCATCAACTAGGCTGTACATTCGTGTATTTATAACAAATGGGTGGGAAAGTTCCAGAATAATTTCCGGCCAAAAGTCAAATTAATAAAAATCACAATTAGGAATTAAAATGCCATAATAAACAGGAGGACGGATAAAACTCAAACAAGGTAGCATCATAATTAATGAAAAGATTGACATATTGTGAAATTGAGGGTTAGAAATGCAGAAATAATAAAATGACAAAACAGACAGGAAGTTCGGATATGAAAATGTGGTAGCGTAAACAGGGGGTTAAAACTCACGAAGTTTGGATAAAAAAAAGGCAATCGGATAGTCGCTATTAAAAGAATTATCTGTTTATGGTGGTCATGGCAGGGACAAGGGTTGGACGTATTTCTTTTGGATACATAGTGTGGGTTTGAGTTTTTGGATAGCTACTGCCTCGGCTATATACAAGATTCGATCAAACATATCAGTGGGAGTGAAATTAAGACATCTGGGTATAGCCGAGGCAGTAGCTATCCAAAAGCTCAAACCCACACTATGTATCCAAAAGAAATACGTCCAACCCTTGTCCCTGCCATGACCACCATAAACAGATAATTCTTTTAATAGCGACTATCCGATTGCCTTTTTTTTATCCAAACTTCGTGTTTATTCATGTTATTTTGAGTTTTAACCCCCTGTTTACGCTACCACATTTTCATATCCGAACTTCCTGTCTGTTTTGTCATTTTATTATTTCTGCATTTCTAACCCTCAATTTCACAATATGTCAATCTTTTCATTAATTATGATGCTACCTTGTTTGAGTTTTATCCGTCCTCCTGTTTATTATGGCATTTTAATTCCTAATTGTGATTTTTATTAATTTGACTTTTGGCCGGAAATTATTCTGGAACTTTCCCACCCATTTGTTATAAATACACGAATGTACAGCCTAGTTGATGACTTCGTCGAAAAGGAAATTTTCTTCGCTGCAACCGTCTTTTTAATAATTCCTGTTATTCAATGTGCATATTCCGTGATTTGAATGCTAGTTATGAACGAAATCACGTATTCTCTTGCATAATTATTAAACACGACATTATTTGGGGGATAACTTATTATTATTATTATTGCTCCCTTGGGTTCCTAGTGGAACATAGGGCTTCAACTGCACGTCTCCATTTTCTTCTGTCTTCTGCTATACTTTTCGCCTGCATCCATGTTAATCCATATTCTTTCAACTCCTCTTCACACGATCTCCTCCATGTCACCCTTGGACGTCCCACACGCCGCTTCCCTTTCGGGTTCCACTCGAGGGCTTGGCGCGCGATGTCACCCAGCGGTCTCCTCAGCGAGTGTCCGATCCATCTCCACTTTCTCCTGCATATTTGTTGGGCGATTGGTTCTTGCTTTGTTTGTTCCCATAATTCCTTGTTGGTGATTCTTTCCGGCCATCTGATCTTCAGTATTGAGCGAAGACAGTTGTTAATAAAGGTCTGCATCCTTTTGGAAATATTCTTTGTGACCCCCGCCAAGTTTCTGATCCGTATAGAAGAACTGACTTTACGTTTGTATTGAAAATCCGAATTTTGTTGGTGATGCTGAGTGACGAAGATTTCCAGATTGATTTCAGGCTGATGAATGTGTTTCTCGCCTTCCCGATTCTCGCTCGATTTGACATCCTCGTCCGCTCCTCCTGTAGTTGAGACAATGCTCCCTAGATAAGTGAATGAAGTAACCTCTTTCAAATCCCTCCCGTTGATGGTGATTGACGTTGGATGTTGTTGCTGTTGTTGGTTGGTTATTTTCATAACCTCCGTCTTGTCTATGTTTACCTGGAGTCCTGTCTTCGCCGGCTGCTTCTTCGACCAGTTTGTCGGTTTTCGCTTGTAAGTCTTCGATTGTGTGTGACATCAAACATAAGTCATCCGCGAAATCCAGGTCTTCTAGGTTCTTCACGTCGGTCCAGGATATTCCTGTCTTCTCGTTTCCCACAGTCTGACGCATAATCCAGTCCACCACAATTAGGAATATCATTGGTGATAGTAAGCACCCTTGTCTGACTCCTGTGTTTACTCCAAACGCCTCGCTGAGTCTTCCGTTGTGGATCACTTGGCAGGTGCCGTTGTCGTACAGCTGTTGAATAAGGTTGATGAATATTTGGGGTACGCCATAGTACTCGAGTAATTTCCAAATTACTTCACGATCAACGCTGTCGAAGGCCTTCTCAAAGTCTATAAAGTTGAGGTAGAGGTTTGATTGCCATTCCATGCTTTGTTCGATGATGATGCGTAGAGTTGCAATTTGGTCAGTACATGATTTGCCTTTCCTGAATCCAGCTTGTTCTGGTCGGAGTTCTGTCTCCAGTGCGTCCTTTAATCTCTCCAGGATGATGCGACTCAGGATTTTACTTGGCGTCGATAGGAGCATGATTCCTCGCCAGTTCTTGCAGAGTGAGGCGTAAGTCGCCCTTCTTTGGTAGTTTCACGAGGTAACCTTTCCTCCAGTCAGTAGGCACCTTTCCCTCCTTCCAGACCTTTTGCAATAATGGAGTCAGCATGTCTGCTGTAGTCTCTGGGTCTGCTTTCAGTGCTTCAGGGGGTATTCCATCTGGTCCGGCTGTTTTCCAGCTTTCAGAAGTTTGATTGCGTTCAAGACTTCAGCTCTCGTTGGAGGATTGGTGTCAACTTGCAGTTGTGTGCGCGCTGTTGTTGGTATTTCTGGACGGGTTGCAGGTGATGGTCGGTTCAAGAGTCCTTTGAAGTGATCCGCCCATTGTTTAATCTGTTTTTCTTCCTTGGTAATGGGTTCCCTTGGCTGTCTTTTATAGGTTTCGCTTGTGTTGGTCTCTTCCCGGATAGAGATTTGGTTATCTGATATAGTGTCCTCAGGTCCCTTTTGCCTGCTGCCTTTTCAGCTTCAGTAGCTAGATTGTCGTAGAATCGTCTTTTGTCCTTCCTAGCACTCTTCTTCACTTCTTTGTCCAGTGCTTTGTAAGTTGAGCTCATCGTCTCCTTCTCCTGTCCGTCCTTGCATTGAATCATTTTCTCTTTCACCATTCTCCTCTCTTCTATTAATTTCCAAGTGTCCGTTGAGAGCCATTCCTTGTCTTGTCTCTTCTTTCTTCCTAGAACCGTTGAACACGTTTCGTTGAGAATCGCCTTCAGAGACTTCCAATGTTCTTCCACGCATGATTCTTCAGTGCTGTCGCGTAGTGTTTCCTGCTTTGCTCTGACAGTTGCAGTGAAGGTGTCTTTTGTGGTTGTGTCCTTCAGTAATTGAGTGTTGAACTTGCATTGTGGCCTATCCCCAGCTATCCTCGAGGCTTTTAGTTTCACCTTGAAAGTCCCTTCTACTAGATAGTGGTCTGAACCCACATCTGCTCCTCTCCTTGACCTTGTGTCCAGTAGGCTCCGTCTCCACTTTCTTGAAATTGAGATGAAGTCTATTTGATTCTTGGTGTTTCCATCTGGTGAAATCCATGTCGTCTTGTGTATATCCTTGTGTTTGAACACACTGCCACCAATCACCAAATCATTGAAGGCGCAGAAGTCTGAGAAGAGTTCACCATTGTCGTTCATTTCACCGAGGGCCTCACGACCCATGGTGAGTTCTCTTCCTGTGTTGTCTCGTCCCAGCTTCGCATTCATGTCGCCCATCAGGATTTTGATATCGCCATTTGGGACGTTGTCCATTATTGCTTGTAGTTGTCTGTAGAACGCCTCCTTCTTCTCTTGTTCTGAGACGTTTGTAGGCGCATAGCATTGAATGACTGTAACTTTCCTTCCTTTTGAGTTGAACCTGGCTGTCATTATCCTGGAGGAGATTGGTTCCCACTGCATGAGAGCTTTGGCTGCTGTTGGTGACATCATGATGGCCACTCCCTCGGTGTGCTCATGGTTGTCCTCTAGGTGGCCGGAATAGATTACTGTCTCTCCAGTAGGTAGTTGGCACCTTCCAGTTCCGTTCCATCTGCTCTCGCAGATTCCCAACACTTCTATTCTGTACCTTCTCATTTCAGCGGCTATCTGGGCAGCCTTTCCAGTTTCGTACATTGTACGAACATTCCAGGTACCCATCCTTACTTTTGCTTTCATCGAAAGAAGGCACATCGGCTGACTGGCTTCCCGAAGGCTTTCACCAGCCTGCGTCATTTCACTTCCCCGATTCCAGCGAAAAGTAAGGCTATTGCTTATGTTTTTAGAATTTTTAATATATTTATTCGTTGAAGTTTCTGTAGCGATTTGGTTGTTTTACAGGGGTGGAGTTGCTAGCACCACGCCTCAACCCTCCCTCTTTACCCGGCCTTGGGACCGGCGAGAAAACTAGTAAGCTAGTAGCCTAGCAAGCTAGTATCTGGCGAGGTTTTTGGGGATAACTGATAATCTCTAAATTGATATTTACACAATTCTTTAAAGAATTAATTAAATGACATTCATTACCATATAACTGTTTGATTTTGTTTTTTGAGCAGATCAGTTGATGATCCATTTTCTCTCACAAACCCTACACAAAGCAATTCAAAATCAACATCAAACCTTCTAGAAGACGCTGCGCTAATAAACGTAAGTAAAATGTTACATTTGTAAACGGGTATAGTTGGTATAAAAATTCACGAGAGACAGTGTATTTGTTATAGTCACTATGACGTTCGCTCTCCCAGTCATGAACTATTAGCAGATTCAAATTGTTAACTGCTTCTTTAAATAAAATAGCAAATTAAAAATCTCCTAGCATCAGCCAAATGACGATTAATTTCAATATGATTCGAGACACCTTTAATTCGTGTCAAACATAAATATCAATGAAGGTTGTTTTTTTTTAAAGTAAACCCCACAGCCAGAAAATCTACATTCTGAGCTAGATATACATTTTCTATGAATGAATATCTAAGTATTGTATTTGCATGAATTTCGAAGACTAAACTGACAAGCAAAGCTAATTCAGATCACATCTATGTGAGATACATGGTTTTACAGGGGAGAAAGGAAGAGTATGCGAAGCTCTCTTCTAGAACACCTGATCGACTCCTGTCACTCTGCCAATCCTGACCATGATCTTAAGATCATCTACCGAATTCATGCTAGCTTGCCTCATTTTCTTCGTTATAGACTTCTAAAGACAAAGGGGGCCTTAGCCATTCATGAATTTAAGCCAGACTTTTGTGTACAAAGGAAGTATGTACAATCTCTACTTTTGCCTTGACCGTAGAGGGATAGACATTTATTTACTTTGTTTATTTAGTTAATCTATGTACTTTTCCCTTACTACTACGATTATTATTATTATTATTACTATTATTACTTGAATTGTTTCCGCTTGTCCCACTTGTCACTCTAAATCTAAATTTTTTTTTACAATATTGGATTCTATCTTATCAAATCTCACACCATGTTATGTAACATGTTATATTCGCCAACTAATTAATCCTATAATTATACACCCCTATCCAACATCTATACACCTTATGTATAATTTTATACATACAGGTATTTAAATTACCTGGCATTCTACTGATGATCTACGTTCCACTCGGAACGAATGATAAAAGGTTGACTGGTGATATTGTCAAATTCCTGCTGACTAATATTTTATCAATGATTTGTTTTGGCTTTATCTTTTATGCAAATAAGGTATTGGGGATGCAACAAAGATTGGAAGATTAGCCCTTACTGTAGAACACTGATGATTATTTCCTACTTCAATAATGGGGAGTTGTAGGTCTTCCGAGTGCGTGGATTTACACTGGTCATGAGAGATTCGGTCCCCTGTGCAAGCAATGACTATCGACCACACATCTCGCCTTACAGTAATGATCGAATCACAATTCACCTAAGTTTAATTTCACGACCAATGTGCACTTCCTGTGGCATAATTCGACTGGAAGGTATATGAAAGTATATATGAAGGGAGCTTTTCTTTTCTCGAACTTACTGAATCTGTCTGTCTGTCTGTTTTCGACATAGAACTTTGCACAAATGTGCGGAAGTTCAAGTCGCCACACTCCGTGTAGCACGCGAAGCAAGAGAAGAAAGTACAAGAAAAGCATAATAGAAACAGTGAGCAGAGGTGTGAGACAAAGGAGTAATAAAGAAGGACAAAACAGTTTCATTGGAGATCATAAGTCACAAGGAGTGGATGCATCTGCGCCACTGAGAACGATTTTGAGCCATGTCACCAATTGTTTCCAACCATAGATTTTTACCGTCCCGAGGACCCCAGCCTGGAAGTCTACACCTTCCTACGTGGCTTAGACCAACTGTTGTGGATTTCATTGACTGGTGCCAAGTTTTTGTTTGACCGCCGCTAGCTTTTTTCCAGCCTGACCCTATATCCGCTAACATTGCTCGTCGAGGGAGGCGATGACTTGGCATACGTAACACATGTCCTAACCATCTCAGTCTTTGTAGCTTCACGACTTCGTCGATTGATTTCCCCTGTTTACCTAGAACTCGACGCCTAACCTCAATGTTGCTCACCTTATTATGCCACTTTACACGGGAAATAGAGCGCAGGCACCTATGATCAAAGACAGCTAGTCTTTTCATGTCTTCCACTCTCAGTGGCCAGGTCTCACAACCATAAAGGAGGACGGAGCGGACTGATGAGCAGTACACCCGCCCTTTGGTCGATAGTCGAACATCTCGTCTACGCCAGAGTCGGCGTAAACTGGCAAATGCGAAACGAGCCCCTTGTATTCGTGCTGAGATTTCGTCAGAGATCAACCCGTTGGCGGGCTGATGGTACTTCCCAAATAAGTGAAGCGGTCAACGTGCTCTACCACTTCACTTCCTATTTTTAAACTAGGCGTCGATGTAGTCCAGTCCTGTAACATCATCTTGCATTTGGCGGGAGCGAATCGCATGCCAAACATTCGTAGATTGCTGCTCAAGGTGTTTAGAAGACTCTGCATTTCGTCAGCGTCTTCGCCTAGAAGGACTATATCGTCTGCATATTCCAAGTCAACGAGATTATTCTCCGGTAGCAAGTCAATCCCTGAGTCGCTGAAGTCACTTAGGGTTAAGTCCATTAACACATCTATGATGAAGTTGAATAGAAAAGGGGATAATGGGCATCCTTGACGGACACCACTGGTCGTCACCAGTTCAGATGACAGCTCGCCGTAAGCCCTCACCTGGCTGTATGAGTACGAGTAGAGTGCCTTAATCAGTGCAATATATTTTCTCGGAATTCCCTTTACAGCCAAGCATCTCCAGAGAACTTCTCGATCGACAGAGTCGAATGCTGCCTTTAGGTCAAGAAATATAATGACTGTTGGACGCCGGTAGGAATCCCTATGTTCTAGAATCTGTCGGAGGGTGAAGATATGATCAATACACCCTCTTCCTGGTCTAAAGCCTGCCTGGCTCTCTCGTGTTTGTGCTTCCCGAGCACCACTCAGTCTACGCATGATTATTGAGCCTAAGACTTTAGATACTATATTAGTCAAGCTAATCCCTCTGTGATTATCACAGGAAGACTTGTCTCCCTTCTTGTATATGGGGATAATCAGTGACTTACACCAACCCGATGGGACTTCTTCTGATTCCCAGACGCTGCCTAGTACCTCAGTTAATGCAGACAGTAAGCTGTCTCCACCGTACTTAAATACCTCTGGAGTCATTCCATCAGGTCCCGCTGCTTTGCCTAGTTTCAGATTGGTGACAGCTTTAGTAACCTCAGTTAGGGATGGAGGACCTGTGTCTATATCCCATTCAGGGAGGTGTTGGATGCTCGGAAGGTTGAGCGTGGCTGTGGGCAAATTAAACTGCTCCTCATAATGCTCTTTCCAACGATCCAGTCGTCTATCCTGGGAGCTAATTATAGTGCCATTTTTTTCCGAGATTGTCTCACTAATGATTTGTCTTCTCCCACCCGTTTCCCTGATGAGTCTAAAGAGTTGCCTGGTGTTGCCTATCCTCGAAGCTTTCTCCATCTCTTTGGCTTTTGTCACCCACCACTGTTCACGGTCCTTGCGGAGACTTTTCGTAAGTTTCCTCTTGTGCAGCTTTCGCTCCTCATTGAATTCGGAGCTCGCCGGAATAAGTCTTCTAGCATCTATCAGTTCGGATGAGGCGGTGGAGATCCAGTGGTTTTTACTCACCTTTGGGTTTACCTTATTCACAGCTTTTACAGCTGTATCTATGGCTGCCTGGATATTTTTCCAAGCTTCTTCAGGGTGAGCACAGCTGTCGAACACAGATATGTGTTTAGCTAGTTCTTCCTCAAATACGGATTTAGTTTCCTGATCGAGCTGGGGACGTGATGGTTTTACCGCCAGCTGTTTCCTACGTCCGTTCAGTCGTAAGCACACCCGAGCGCGGACCAGTGCATGGTCGGTATCTACACACGTGTTCCAGAAGGAGCGACAATCTCCTACCGACCCACGCCAACGATAGCTTATTGCTATGTGGTCTATTTGTGTCCAGCGTTGGTTTGATGAAGGGGGTCTCCAAGTCAAACAGTGTCTCTCCTTGTGTTTGAAGTTAGTGCTTACAAGAAACAAATGATTATCAGAGCAGAACTGTAGGAGACGGTCACCGTTGTCGGTTCGCTGGCACGGAACTCCATAGGTGCCACCGACATCCTTCTCAGATTGACACAATTTCCCTACTTGAGCGTTAAAGTCACCAGCTAGAACGACTATGTCTGAGCGTTTAGCCTTTCGCACCAAACTAGACAGCTTTTGGTAGAACTCATCCTTCGTTTCATCTGAACTGCAGTCAGTGGGGGCGTAGGCGGAGATTACGAAAAGGCATCGGCGAGTAGTGCAGTCCTTTCTCCTTTTTACTGATCCGTTCAGACGGACAGCACACATTCGGCTATCTACCGGGATCCAGTCAAGCAATGTCTTTTCTGCCCTAGTACTCAAAGCTATCCCTACGCCAGCTAATCCTCGTGAACTAGCTGTGGCATCTCCTGACACCCTCAAGGTGAATTTTGCAGATTCAACCTGTTGGCCAGGTGGGGTTAGGTGAATAACCACACTTGGGTCTTGTATGCGTGTTTCTGAAACACAGCATACATCAATGGCTCGTGATGCCAGGGTCTTGGCTAGTGATGCTTGTTGTCCTATTTGGCAAAGTGTCCTAACATTAAAAGCTCCTATATGAAATTGGTGGCGTGGCTTTAGGAGGCTGTCGGTGGTGGTTTTTTGGCTTCCATCGTTTCTGGTGGATGCAGAGTGGAGAGCTGTCAAGCCGAGGAGTTGCATCAGTGGAAGGCAAGATGATAGAACCTTACTGAATCACTTTGATGGTACACAACGCAATGAATCTATGACTTCTTGCTTGCAATTTCTCGACTACAGATAGAATCTACTACATAGATTAGAACGTTCTAAATACGGTCAATTCCCTTCACATTCAGGATCAGACAACTTGACACTGGGGCAAGCTGATATGCATCGAACTGTACAAACTTCAGCGACACTGTCGTATTCCAGAATTAATACGTCGAAACTCTGAGAATCTAACACTAACCAAATTGTTTCAAGTTATTACATTCATCCTAACTTTCCTCTTAATAAATGTTTCTTATTATGGGTCTGCTTTCAATTGGTATGAATTTCTATGGCACCTAGTGCGTCTGCGGCCAACAACTTAGGGAAAGAAATGTCGCAAAAAGCATTAGTAGTTTATTCACGCTCACCAACGTTACAGATAATCGGAACTAAATCCATATATTGATAAGTTTTAAGACTACGATATCAGTATGCCTCGATATGCTCTAATCAACTAAACAGTCCTCACGTTCTATGATAATACCATTGTGATGGTAACGATTATCTAATTTTTCTATTTCACTGTAGAAATTAAGTCTCCATTGTGTTATATCTTAACATTAAAATTACTCAATAGTTGTCTTTATCAAAATCTTTAGAAGCCAACATACTAAAGGAAAATTTTTAATACTTTTTAGTTCGACTCCATTCCGCCGACGCGCGTTGCTCCACATGCTCCTCCGAGAACAATACCTCCACCATTACCACCTCGTCCACGAAATGAAACAGAATGATTTCTTTTTTAATTTTAACCATGACAACTGATTTTCTGAATGAATACTTATGACTTATTTATCAGTTATAGCATTTAACTTACTGAGTTCCTCAAAAACATACTTTATTTATTATAACATTCCATCACTTTATCGATTTATCTATTCACATGTATCGGATCATAACAACCGCTATTCATCAATATAATTAACTTGAAACATTCGCCTTTTTGATGTTTATAAAGTGAGAAAACAAAATTACAATGTGAAATAAATACATTTCAAAACAAGTGACTGGATAGTTCAGTTGTTGCATAAGTTAGTAATATTACAGTTAACGTCGCCTTGTAGATCTGCTTGAGCTTCTGGAGGATGACCAACTGCGACTGGAATTTCTACCGCGACGTGTTCTTCTGTGGCGACGCTTGTGTCGACGTGTGCTTGAACTGCGCGACCGAGAGTCTCTTGAAAATGATCGAGAACGTGACCTAGACCAAGAACGATTTCGGCTTGGATAGCTTGTACGCGTACCCCAATTTGTAGAAGCTCGTGTAGAGAATGAGCGTGAACGTGATCTCGTGTAGTATGAACGACTGACTGGGGAATATCGACCTCTCCCTCTACTTCTTGAGTCTGAAAAATCACTTCGCTGAACTTTACGAGCAGAATTGCTTATTGATCGAGATCTTTGGCGAGAACGCTTAGGTCTGCTTGAGCTCCTCGATGAAGATCCAGAAGAGGAAGAAGAAGAGGCTGAACTAGAACTAGATGAATGAGATCGTCCTCTGATTGCAGTTGGTTTTTTAACCTGGTGACAAAGAAAACGTAACTATTTTAATTATCATCATTGTGCGGATTACAATTCTAAGAGTTTATCTCTAATTATGTATGTAAATAGTTGAAATACAAATTGAAAGCAAAATGTATTCAACAACGGTGTTCTCATCTATATATAATTAAGCAGTTCAGTTAAATATATTTTACACAGATGACTGATATCCAGTATCGGTTTTGTAGGGATTTCTGTTTGATTGGATGGAGGATTTCATCATGAGCTGACATCAGTTAGAGAACCACTGGAAAACCATCTGGGAGTACTGGACATCTGTTTCGTCCTAGTTTGGGACTCTTCAGAAGTATTCACCCATCGCCAGGGTTCGAACCTAGGACCTTCTGGTTACAAGGCGAGCTCGTAGACCATTGAGCCACTGGGACCCGATCCAAGGGCCAGTCTATGAAATCTGACTTCTGCCAATTTATGACGAAGAGCGACCATTTCGCAATGTCTTTTCCGATTAGTTACTGCCTAATCTTCAAACTGCTGTACCTTACTGGTGATGGCTTCCCACTAGAACCCCAGGTTAACTGCCTGAATAGATGACTAATACGTCAAATCTCAAAAGTACGTCGACTGTTTACAACACACACCTGCTAAATAAAATAAACAATAATAAGCTAAGTGTACACATGGCTTGTGGTTCAGTGGATCTGTGCAGTAGGCTATGTTTGGATGTGGTCACTCAATGTTATTCGTCACAAAACAACAAGTCTATACCGACTAAGCCTTCCTCTCTTTACAGTTATACTAAAAATTAAAGGTTACACCATTTTTCGCGGTGTGCAGTTTAAAAACGCTATTAGTCAGGAAAAAGCCTGAATAACATTGGTCTATATAAAATGGACAATGATTCCCATAATGATCAGTTACTTATGTACTAGGCTATTAGCCATACACTTACTGCGTGTGGACTGATGATATTACTTAGGTCCTAAGACAGAAGTAGGTGTGTAATGGGATTCGAATCAAGGATCTTTTGGCTGAAAACCGAGTGATCAAGGCAATGAGAAACACTTCCACAAATAGGTTACCAATATCAAATGGATGCATGAAAATACCTGATTTTTAGGAAGAGGTGGAACTTGAGGTTTGATCATAGTCGGTACATTTGACACTGATGTGGTTTCAGACGAAGCAGCTGTTGAGTTTTCTAGTTTATTGGTTTTTGTATCACTACCGATAACAGAAGAGTCATCTTTGTTTGGTTGTGTCTCGTTATTAGTAGTAGACTCTTGTTGTGCACCTCGAAGTCTTTGTAAAACGGTGCTATTATTTGCCAATTGAATTTTCCCAGGCAGAATCTTTCCGTTCTTATTAACAGATTCTTCAAGTTCCGGTTTACTGTCAGTCTGCCACGGTTTGCTACTCCACTGAGGTACTGAAGGCTGGTTTGTACTTTCTTCTGCAATATGAGGAGATTTCTCCCACTTGCTTGATACAGGAATATCCTTTTAAAAAATGGCAATGTGAATGGAAATTTAAATTCGGCAAAATAGAACAATTCCTTCGTATTAAATTCAATAAACCCACTTAATCTTGAAGATAGAAGACAATGAATGCTTCACCGATCCTACTGTTTCTTTCTATTGCACTGATCTCAATAAACTAACCACTGAAATAAAGAAAAAATTCACCATGAAACTTTAGTTAAGTAAAGTCGAATATCAACTGTGTTGAATAGCTCTCTACCGACTACTTTTCGCAATTTCACAGTATCAATAATCCATATTCTTTTACACCGAAATCCCATTTGACTATTATGCCCCATTAATATGCTTATCTTCAAACAATTTTAAACACAAAAAGACAAACATTTCTCAATAAGTTTAAAGAGTGAACTTACCTCAACAGGTGGGTCCTCAGCGACAATTTTCGGTGGCTTTCTAATGAGGAAAATAAAACAGGAGTACTAACATTCTATCGCAATAATGTACGTGAAATAAACATTTCATATGCAGGTTAAAGTTCAAAATACGTATATATATATATATATATATATATATATATAAATGCCTTCGCACAAGTGTACTAATATTACTTCTTAGACTGACGAGGTCATGATACGTCAATATCCTAAGAATCTGCACAACTAATGACATAACTGCCCGAACTGAAAATCACTTATTGGCGGCATTGAAACTGCTTCGAAAGGGAGATTGTGAAAAGATGTCAATAATAATCTATTAAACTATAACTTTTAATACCTGAAGGACACGCGATGCGTCGCCTACAACTTGATTGAATACATGCTACCCCACCCTACCATAACACGTGACGCTTCTAGTGACACTTTACAATTCTATAAGTTATGATGTTTAAATATACAGTGATGCAGACAATGAAAAACCATTAATCACAAGAGTGATATGTGAAAACTAAAGTTACATTTGCAGCATTTTAGATTCTGATTATAATGCCTTAATCTTTCAGTACTGTCACATGTCACCTAACGCCCGATGGCAAATTACATTTTCCCATCATTTACGCCAATTCCCTACTGAAAAGATTTGCAACTGCAGGCTGCTGACAATCTTAACTGAGCACTGCAAAACTTATTATGCACATAACTACTCCGAAAAATCAGTCGTATAAATTAGTTAGTAAACACTATACGTGAAATAATCGTTTCGCAGAATATGAATATGTTTTGAGAATAACAATTTTGATTATCCTTACTGCTGTGAAACGACTTTATTCCTCTTTGTCAAACCTTCAATCCTCCAGCCTCCCAAATATCTTAACAGACGATTTTCTTCAGCCTAAAAGATTTCAATTATACTTTGCTATACAATGAGGAGGTCAGACTACACACGAAATGATAAAGAGTCTTTTTGGAGAATGGAAGGATTAATTAAAGGCTCCCTATAAACGGACGTTGGTTTTTTGTATTATAGTTTACAAAGAAAACTCTGCCGTGTCCTTTTAACTGAGAATTTCAGAATATGGAACTGAACGTCAAGCAACAGAATTAATACTTTACAGCTGTCACACTGCTTCAAAAAGTTGCAGACAACCTTCCCATAGATTTTAGAAAAATCAGGAAGGCAGCCTCGAGACCGAAGCGAAGCAAAGTAGAGAAAACAAACGTAAGTGAAACTGTACACAATCTATTTAGGACTTGAACTATTTTATCAGGAGCAAGACGTCATTAATCATTTGATTTTGCTTACTTATCAAATGCATTGACAGTGAAGGACCTGAAAATGTTTCGGACCAACAGTACTTTCATAGTTCCCTATTGATCTGAAACTATGTACATTACTAAGCAACAGTTCCTGAGATGTTAGTCAACGACTCAAGTGCATGGAAATTTTTAGAATGGACAATGATGCAAATGTTTTCATTCTTAATTATCACAATTTCACACATAATTCTATTCATTCAATGGATGGAGAGAGGTTTTGTGTACATTTCGGATTGAGAGGGCGTTTGTTACCTCCCGGCTGCCCACACCGTGGAAGTTGGTTGCATGACCGCAGAGCCCAGGGGACAACTGCTTGAGGCCGGTCACACGCGGCCTGTTTTTGTTTGTTCTTTGTTTGGTGTGCCTCAGTAGCACACTTATCACTTCTGCCCTGTGACACGGCAGCAGGAAGCGCGGTCGTTGTTAATCCGGGCCACGGCCGATCCGGCATGAAATTTTGTGAATTTGTTTGAATCATGGTATTGGATGGGGTAGCTGCTTTTGTTTAACCGCTATCCAAACAACCCGCCTGGCATGGTAGAACCTCAAGAGACATAAGTCTCAGCCAGTATAGCTTGATTAGGTCATTGCGGTGTTCAAGCCCGACCACCACGTCAAGATAGCAGCTTTCGGATGGAAAACTTTTTAAATTTTCATTAACACGCGCTCTCTTTTTTCAGTGCATTGGTTAAGTTCAGCGACTACACAGATTCATTATAAACACTTTAAAGTTCGATATTTGAAAAATAAAAACTATTGGAACCTAGAAGACAAGGTAGTTTGAATATACAGAAGTCTTGTCGCGCAACTAAATATCGGTATGGATACATGGGTGAAGAGCTTAAGGATTCGATTCTTGACTCATTTCAGCCTGGGTATCTGAGTCTTAACTAAGCACTAGTCGGTTTGCTTCATCAGCAAATGACATCAATCCATGCCATCAGTTGGCTTGAAGCTGAAAATTCGTGATGTGCAAAAAGCAGTGGAATATCAACACTATTTGCCCTGAGAGTCAAAACAACACGGCTACAGGACGAAGCTGTCTGGAGTACTAGTGGGTCGTGACCGGGGTACACCAGGTTAGCTGAGGAGACAAATACTCGCCGATGACATCGGCTGGTGGTCGCGCTAAAATCGCTAATTGACAGACGTTAGAACTAATGGACCACTGGATTCCGATCCAAGTGGCTCAATGGTCAACTAACTCAAAGGTCATGGGTTCGACTGCTGGTGATAGGGTTGTGAGGCGGAATGGCTGTTCATTACTCCTTGATCTTTAATTTCTGTCTAAATGACAACAATCAGTGATCAGGCTTGAAAAATATAATCTCTACAAACTAACTCTTGAAAATTATGTTTGGTTGGAACTACTATTTATCTCGAAAGTACGGAAAATGGGCATAAACCGACAGTGAAACATCACTACTTTCCAAACTTTGTAACACAAACCCAGTGAAAAGGCAATGGGCCATCAGAAAGCCAGTAAAATTCAAGTACAGAATGATATATTCCCTGAAAACTTACTGTGTAGTATGACTTTTCTTCGTTATCACTATAATAGGTTTGCTGGGTGAGGTACCTCGATGCTTCAACCCGTAACCCCCCTTAGCGGGTGAACGACTACGAGATTTTGAGCGTGATGTTTTCCTATCACGACTGGTACTTCTTCTTCGTTTGCGAGCACTTTCTGTTTCAGGAGAACCACGTCTTATATTTGATTTAGTACGACGATGGGAATATGAGCCTGATTTGGAACGAGAACTCGAAGATCTACTTCTCCGACGGCTGGTGATGGAACGTGATGGTGAGCGGGAATGAGCATGGATACTTCTTCCAGATGCATTACGTCTTAAACGGTCTTCTGATGATCCAGAAGGTGCGTACGCTGCTACGGATGGTGGTACAACACGACGTTTTTGGTTCAGCATTTCACGGCGCATTTTCCATCTATATACATGTATATAATGTCAGTGATTAGGTAATTATAAAAAATCCAACAGTAATATTATGTGAGTTGTCATTGATTAGCATACAAACATAAAAAATTGTGTACTTGCACTAATGGTTTATTGCATAAACGACTACCAAGTGCATAGAGAGACTTAACTTCCCGTTAACAAACAGCAAGACAGCTAAAATTATTTTTCTTAAAGAAAAGTAATTCCTAGTGATCAGAAGATATCAACTTACTTCTCCACAAGATGAGCTGGAGGACTTCGTGGAGCTTGTCTACGATGGGATTTCGGACTTGTTTCAGATTGAGATCGGGACCGGGAACGTGAACGTGACCTAGAACTGTCAGATTCACAAGATGAAGCTGATCCAGATTCTGATGACGACGAACTTCGTGAAGCTGATCGAGAGATGTGAGCGGCCTTTGGCTGTTCATCTGTTTGTGATATGAGCGGTTTGCTAGGTATCTCTGGAGACTTGGCTTTTTCTTGTATAGGTGGGGCAGACTCACTTGGAAATGGTATGTCCTCGGGTTCATTATAACTAATTGGCTGAGGTGATGGTATTCTAGAAGGAAGTTCTGGAGAAGCCTGAAACAATTCATAGAAAATCCCGTTTTGATAAATACGTTAAAAACAGTTTATACTCAAAAAAGTAACTGTATACGGAATCAGAAAAAAATTATATATATACATATATATATCATTATTCGGTTTTAGTAGCCATGACTACTCTTCAGACTTTTAAATGATTGCTGATTCATTCTCAGATCACAGAATGCATGTTGCACATTTTTCTATTAGAAACAAACTCTTTCGTACCTAGTAAATTTATTTCTTATACAAACTAAATCTGTTGGCACTGAATGTTGTTTGCAATACAGTTTTGTATCTGTTCAAGTTAATTTGTGTTTTCAGTTGATTGATAACACTCTGGTGCTAGAAATAAAAGGTACCGGGTTAGCGTCCCAGTGGGAACACTATGACTCGCTAGAGATGCAAGTAAATCCAGATGAAGAGTCCCAAATGAGACAAAATGAGCATTCTAGATTCTACTGCTAGTCTCCATGAATCGCAATGCGATTTCCCTTAGGTCCACTGCTAGCAGAATGTTTTATAGGAAGGGTGCATTAAGATCAACTATTGATGTTTTTCAAGTATGCAAGGTATGTGTGTACGACATTTTTATCATATGTGATAACATTTATGAACTTAATCAGTTGTTACAAGTATTTAACAACTGCTATTCAGAAATAAAATTTACTCTGAAAAATGAACCTAAAATTCCCTTTCCTGATGTTGAATTAACAAGGAAAGCCGATGAAACCTTAAAGAAAGGTTGTCTATAGGAACCCGTCCTTTGTCATATCATCTGCTGCAATAAAATCCAAAAGTTTAATTACGAACCCCAACAAATTATTTGCTTTAAAAGTCTAAGAAAAACTTACTTGATGTTTATGAGGAATACCAAGAGAGGTTTGTTGCGCATTTTGATCAGGTGGAGATGGCAGTCGGTTTTCGGAACCAATAACGGATAGAGGAGATGAATAAGTAGGAGGTGAAGCGGCGTTCTGCTCCGTAGGAGCTTGATTCTCTATAGTAGCATGTTTGGGCGAAAGCATTTGAAGGACAGGAGACTTTGATCGATATTTCTGTTGTTGACTGGAAGTGGATGAGTTAGTTGGGGAAACAACAGCTTGTTGTGGAGATTTCAAATTTGATGACCCGGAAAACTTTAAAGGAGACTGACTGCGAGATAAGGCTTTCGGTGAATCCCCTAATTGTCTCTTCGGTGAATCAGACTAGCAAAACAAAAAACACTGGTCAAAAATGATTCTCAATCAAAAAGGTACACGTGTTACACAATATAACTACTATAACTAAAATCCGAAAATTCGATGCCAAAACCATGATACTATAATTGCTTTTCAGTGTTTATTTGTTGCTTACAACATAATCTGACAGTGCTAGATTGATAAGCATAAAAGAGAAAACAATATACATGATCTTATTGCTTAAATGAACCTGTTTAATATTAAATTTGTTAACAAAATATTTGCAGTCCTAGTGGTTTTAAGGATGTTACAAATCAAGTTTCGAAATTGGGTAGTTACTATTGATATGGTTATGAACAATAAATTGTGTTCAAAACGTCATCCAGCAAATAATTGTTTCACTGTGTAAAAGCAAATTAGTATGCAATCACATGCTACCTTTATGGTTGTGAGACCTGGTCACTGAGAGTAGAAGAAATGAAAAGACTAGCTGTCTTTGATCATAGGTGCCTGCGCTCTATTTCCCGTGTAAAGTGGCATAATAAGGTGAGCAACATTGAAGTTAGGCGTCGAGTTCTAGGTAGACTGGGGAAATCAATCGACAAAGTCGTGAAGTTACGAAGACTGGGATGGTTAGGACATGTGTTACGTATGCCAAGTCATTGCCTCCCTCGACGAGCAATGTTAGCGGATATAGGGTCAGGCTGAAAAAAAGCTAGCGGCGGTCAAACAAAAACTTGGCACCAGTCAATGAAATCCACAACAGTTGGTCTAAGCCACGTAGGAAGGTGTAGACTTCCAGGCTGGGGTCCTCGGGACGGTAAAAATCTATGGTTGGAAACAATTGGTGACATGGCTCAAAATCGTTCTCAATGGCTAGCGCAGATGCATCCACTCCTTGTGACTCATGATCTCCAATGAAACTGTTTTGTCCTTCGTTATTACTCCTTTGTCTCACACCTCTGCTCACCGTCTCTATTATGCTTTTCTTGTACTTTCTTCTCTTGCTTCACGTGCTACACGGAGTGTGGCGACTTGAAATTCCGCACATTTGTGCAAAGTTCTATGTCGAAAACAGACAGACCACAGTGACCACCTTTTACCATACATTGGTGTTAAAGCAGATTATACATAACTGGTTCAAAGAAGCAGTATTCCTAAGAAACACTGAACTATTAAACGGGTACTTACCTTAACGCTCGAATACTCTGAAAATTTAGAGAGTTTTGAAGACTGTTCATGAGTATTGGTTGCAAGAGTTTTAGGCTTATCTTCATCGATATCTACCATACTTTCGTCGCCTATTCCCGAAATACGCTGATCTGTGCATTCATCTTTACCAAATAAATCTTCAGACAATGGTGTCGGACGCATGTCTTCGGGTGATCTAGGATAGCGCCTGTGATGCGAATCCTCAGATTTACCCACGTACTCGGTATTTATCCTTTTTTGTACGGCAGAAGTTGGTGATACGTGATTCTGTGTTGGAGAGGAACCGTTTTCCACTATCTTGGAGTCATCTACTAAAATCTGACTAAAATGTGTTGAAAGTGAATATAAAAATATTGGAAAAAGTGTTTAAGGGAGCATTTCCGAAAATTACTTATTATTTGAAGACTTTTATAGCTTGTATTTCAACAGAGATAAAAATTGTCCGCAAAACTCACACTGATCAAAAGCAAAAAAATTACCGACGTAAGCACTTGATAAAAAAAGAATGTATTCTTAATCTCAACAGCAGATTTCGTATTCACTACAAAGACTAAAGCTCGAGTACAGTATTTCGATATAAGCATTCAAAAGCACTGGGAGAAATAAGATGAATAGAATAAAACCAATGGGAATACAGAAGTAACTAAAAATGAGTAGCAAAGACCTTAAAAAGATTTTAGTGGCATCTTCAGAGCTTCCTAAATTAGTTTTAACAAGCTTCAACTGTACATTGACTTACTGACACCTGTTCACAGAAACACAACCAAGTAAATTTTTGAAACTACGAGTATAAAAAGGTTCAGTTAATATGTAGCGCATTTCTTGAAGAGAGCTACCTAGTGTTTTCGCAGCGAAATTGATAACAAAAATACCACATTTCTACGACACTATACACGTAAGCTGGTAGAACCTAAACACTACGAAGAAATCCTTCCAGTTTGCAAAGCCACTAGTGAATCGACTATACAGGTACCATCAAAAAATTGTCTAATACTAAAGAGACTTTTAGAAAAGTAGATGTTTTCTAATAGGTAATTAACTGAATATCAAACTTGAGATGCAAATGACTAACATATATATATATATATATATATATATATATATATATATATATATATATATATATATATATATATATCAAAAGAGTGGAATCATACATAATCCTTAGGACTACTACAGTCAGACTACGCTTATGAAATATCAAATGGACCTACTGATTCTTTGGTGGTGACTGACTAGGAGAACGCGATTTGCGACCATCCCTTTGACTTGTTGAAAATTCTTTCTTCGGAGAATCAGCGTCTCTTATATTATTAGAAACACCAAAGTTGGTTACAAAAGATGGTGAGGTGCTTGGGTTGCGGTTACGACTGGCAGCTACGGAGGGAGATGGTGGATCATGGCGGCTCCCACGGGATGAATGAGACGACATTCTTCTTCAATGAAAATTGGAAAAACAGTTTTTTAATAGTAACAATAAAGTCAGAATATTACTGAACTGCGAAAATTAAATGATAATATGGAAAACAATGTTAAGTATCTAAATCTCATTCCTATCAATCAAATGCTTAACTTATCCCAAGTTTATTAGTGACCAAGTAGTGTAGGTTGTGTAGGCAATGGAAAATTAACCCTTTAGTGTGACATAGCGAAAATCACGTACACGATTTTGAGACTAGGACCTTGTTGAAAACATTTGAATAAAAAATAATGCAACTCAAAATCACTATATGGCTACATGGTAAGTGATGAACCACCGAAAATGGTCGGAAGCCATATCACTACTCAACTATCACAACTTAATGCAAATTGAGATCCAAAAATATGAGCTGCGAAAACTAGGTGCCTAACCAAATTACGAAGTAGCAAGAGACATACTGTAAATTATTCATTTGTTCCTGGTTTCGCCGTTCATTCCATTGTTTCCAATCATCTTGGTCTAACTTTTGAGTGTGAGAGCTTGCTTGGCGCCAATGTGGTGGAGTAGTACTACGTTCAGGACTTCCTGAACGGGAATTCGGACTTTGGTAACACTGAAAAAAACATTATGAACATAAGTTAAAAACAAAATCCAAATTAATGAACAATCAATTGCTAACTGGTGTGCTAATTCAATAAAATGGAAAATTTGATCAAAAAATTACACGGTATGACTGAGCTAGGTTTCTGCAAAAATACAAAACAAAAAATATCACAACCAATGTATGAAATGTGAGATTTTACGATTTAAACTAACAAAACAGATAGGCTGTTCATGTAGCGACAATGAACGAGATAGAGGACTGCCGATATTGTGAGACATCTGGCAGTATATTTCAACGCTACGAACACGATGGTAATCATCAGTCTGAATAGTTTACCTTCACTTTTGACGCATTTTACAGCAATATAAAGTTATCAGAAACATGGGATACAAAGCTGAATAAAATTACAATAATATTATCACTCTACAGTGTTTAAATCCATAACTTCGTAGAAAATCAGATAAAATAGTACTTATGAAATGGTTATAATAAGAGCAGGATGTGACTCACAATTCGACCGCGTCCCTTGACCACTCGACCTGAGCGGTCCTCCTGATATCGACTTCTAACACTTTCACGATTGCTCCCCGCACCCTGCCTGAAAAAGGAAACACTTTGTTGTGAAATTCAGTTGTAATATGACTGGACACTGAGCAATATGCTTCTTACTACGATAGTTATCAAATCTCAGTAGTCCGTTATTTAATGAAATCAAATGCAAACTTAATGGAATAACTATACGCAGGAGAATAATTTTATTTGATAAAACACAGTGATATATTATTTGCAGATAACGTTCAAAAGCAATTTAATGTTTAATATCATATCACGATAAAATTATCCTGAGATGGAAGTATAATCCCCTACAATACCCAAATTTTATTCTTATGCATACATAAGATTGGCGACAAGCGGTCTGGAAAGCACTTAAACATCATATTTCATATACCGGTTGATTAATGCGAACGAGGGCGGTTGTGATATAGGGTTGTGGTCCACTGATCTAGACACTCGATTAGCAACTACTGGTTTACGAGTGCATACCCCGCTCAAACTGCCAAGGTTGGGACAGCCACGTAACACCATTTACCCTTACACAATAAGTACATTTCCCTGACAACTGCATAGCAATGCAAGTGGTTGAGTAATAATGCTTATACTACATAAAAAGGGCGTTTAAACGTGCTCCGTAGTGTAACGTAAAATGTTGCGCGTAGTCGAAATGAATCTTCAGTAGAAATACTGAAATATGCCTTCTAAGATATAAAACACTGAATGCAACAGAATATAAATCGGCTGGATTGTTTTCTACTAGACCAAACGTTACATATGCTATGTAAGACTACAATAACTTGGGTTCTGTAAGACAGACGCTCATTTAATTAGCAAACGTTACGGCTACGTGAGGCACACGCAACTTCTTACTATCAGAGAGGGCATCCATCTTTATTTTCAAATTTGTTTGAGTGCAGTTAGTCCGGATGATGTTGCAAATGTATAAAACCTTTCGTGAAGCAAATTCAGTAGTTAAACGTAATAGCAATGAAAGACCCACCTGGACTCGGTCGAGCAATTGCTGAGACGAGCTGAAATACTGTTGATCAAAAGTAGCAAAAAATTAGGCTTCATGATGTCATAATAGTGAATAACGTAGAAACTCGTTACTATATATTATTCTGCTGATACTGCACATGATAAAGATTAATTAATTAATATGTACAAAATATTGCCGAAGTTATGTAAGCCCTTATTAGCAGCTAGGTGGGGATGACTACACGTACGACTTGTAAACTAGCGGAACCGCTGACATGAGACTTAGAGGACACTAAGCTACAATCGATTCCGGAGCTGAATGGCACTACTTTATAGTCACGAGGCAGTCTTTAACTTTCCTACATATAACTTAATATCATGTAGTGACTATTGACAGACAAGTCAAAAGCCAGATGTACATTAAGACACCATTTAAATCACAAAAATTTACAGTCAAAAACCAACATGCACATACACCATCTTCTTAAATTCTATCTCATCACCGATGACGTCCAAAACGTACCTTGGCTTCAGAGAATTAAATTCGCTTCCGCTACGTAAGTTTTCGATTCATATTGCTGACTGAACAGCCTAAAAGTCACAAGTGCATGAAAACATCTAAGACGTCTGTAACAACTATCTAGTCATAACCCAATAAGATACGAAATCTACTTTTAAAAGTCGTGTACAAGACCACATAAAACAAGTACAATTTAGAAAAATGGTCAATACCTTGGGCTGACTTCCATCTTTTTCTGTAACTCCAGCTGATCCTCTTCATAGTTACCACGGTAAAGAAACTTTGGTGGTGGCACTTCTGGAATCTCTTCTTTTCGAACACTGCATCCATTACCCATGTTGCTCTCACTAAAGCATGAATCATAAAATGTATCTTACCTTTCTGATGAATCTTCCTCCTCACTGACTTTTCGCTTCTTTTTCTTTTTTTCCTTTTTCGCTTTCTTTTTCTTCTCCCCACTTGAGATCTTCCCTTTTTTAACTACCAAAGTTGATCAAATATAATGGGAATTTACCTGGTATAAGCTCTCCGCAAGTGTCAATTACAATCGACTTGACTGGACGATGAGCTTTGGTGTCTGCGATTGGGACGGCCTCAATTTTCCTAACAACATCCTCTCCAGATATTACATGACCGAATACTACATGTTTCCCATTCAAATGTGGTGCAGGAGCAGTGGTGCTAGAGCAAGTAAGTAACGGGGTTATGGGCTTACATGAAAAACTGAGACCCATTAGTGTTGGGACCTCTGTTTGCCATCGACAGCAGAAAAGGGCGGTCATGTTCCGTCGTTAGGCACTCATCTAAAAAATTATTACTGCTAAGCGCATTTTACCTGCAAAAGTGCCTCCATATATCGATTCACCGCCAGTCCCATCCCTATTACTGAAGTCACCTCCTTGTATCATAAATCCCTTGATAACTCGATGGAATATACTCCCCTGGTATGTCAGTGGTTTTCCCGTCTTTAAACCCAAACCACAGACTCCTACGAATTTCGAAAATAAGAATGGACAGTACCTTGACATAACTTCTTAAAGTTTTCAGCAGCCTTTGGACATATATCACTAAATAACTCTAACACGATACGACCCACTGAATATTATTCTATTATACTTGAAGTATGTTTTACCTGGTTGTGAATCTATTCTGATATCCAAATAACAACGTGTCTTAAACTTATGTTTCCCCATTCTTAGCAGCGCAACCTAAGAATCCAAAAATAATGGCGTATCACACAAGGTCAACTCATTTAGTGCAGTAAAAGTGTCAACCTCAGTTTTAACAAAATAATGGACTAGATGTTGCATAAGACACTGTTCCAAGAAAGTTTCATATTTTTATAGGACACGACTCTCCTTTTTGTCAAGTGTCAGGAGTGCTGGTACTGAGGTTAACGACTGCTGTTTCACTCGACAGCATCCAAATCAATTAAAAGCATAATAAAAAAAATGAAACAATTAGAAACTGATAGCGAAACCGATGGGGTTAGTTGATGAAAATAACATGTGACAGAGTGAAATAGACCAAAATCGAGAAAAGAGGTTTTTGTTTCTGATTTGAGCACTCATATAACTTCTCAGTCATGTGGTCTCAACAGCTTAGTTTTAATATATTAATACTCCGAATTCCACCTCCAGTATAGACTAGCTCTCCACTGTTCACAATTTACCCTTCTTTACATGCATCTCACCAGTAAAATCCATCCTGATCACTTACTTCACCCGTTAGCCTTTTTTGCTTGTGAGCATTAATAACTCTAGTCGATATATACTCTGTAAGGAAAGAACTTCCGCATTTCTCCGGGCACATTTATGTTAGTGAATCCTATCAGTATGATACAAAGAAGTTTCTGCCAGGAAGGTATATAGCTGTGCTGATTAAAGCTTTTTGATTCGTGTGGGATCAAAGAAACTTAAGTTTCTGAATAAGCTTAAGATATTTCCTCTCCACTTTTTGAGTTCAGAGAAGGTTGACCTAGTTAAGTGAACTTAGGAGGGAAGGGAATAGTGGCAGCTGGTACGTTCCGTGGCTGTGTAGGTCTGCAATTTGCCATCATCCCACCCACCTAAATACATCCATTAACAGGCTTAAGTCTTTTTTGATTTGAAACTAGTAACTAGTGTGATGTGTCTAATCCTCTCATTGGGACATGAGTTCCTTCAATGTTGCAGATACACCTTGCTGACGAGTGCCAACTAGCACGAAACCTAGGTTCAAGGCTTCCTGTCGATTGCCTCCAACCATCCAATAGTCTTAAGTCTATTATTCCGACGTAAGTTGAAGCACGTTATGTGCAGAGCGGCCACTGTCTTAGGAATTTCCAGGATTGAGGGGTTTCCCCAGTTTTTTAGGCAAGGCAAAAGTCTCCTAGGATAGTACGCAAAGTTACCGCTACGAACTTTATTGCTGTCGCTGATAAGTTAACGAACCCAAGGGTCTTCAAACAATATCCAATATCGTTTCTACGAGCTAGTATAAACCAATTTGATTTCTTTGTGCTCGCTTCTTGATTGTGAGGTATAGGTTCCTGATCTTCGGTAAATTTCTGCATAGTTCGTCCCGCCACTCGACTGTCGTGGACTTGGTTAACTCCAAAGGGAGTAGTGCTGGGATTAATTATATGTGGTTTGTAGTGTGAAGTGTGTTAAGACTGCTACTACTGTGAATGGAGTTGATCCTTTCGCCAGTTAGTCCTCCGGTATCGTCGACAAGAGAAAAGAGATAATAATAATAATGCTAATAGTAGATATAATTGGTGAAGTTATTCAGACTAACAGACAGAAACGGAAATAGGAAAGCGTAACAACAGTCAGCTGATTAAATTTGAAGAATTATACACATATATATCGTTAATAATAATAATATTAATAAGTTAACAGGAGAGTAAGACGGGAGAGAATGTAAAATAGTAAAATGACGAGTTTAATTGTCCACTCCTGAATGGTGTGCGCAATTTAAAGGGGATAGGCCATTTGGATGCAGTCCTTGTGTCGCTGCATGGTTGCCCAGCCTTCACTTAAAGGCATCCAAAGACGGTGCCATAGCTACATCCGCCGGTAAGGAATTCCAGGGACGGCAAACCCGCAGTGAAAAGAAGTGGGAGCGCACCCGGGGCCTTGCCTTCTGGTGAGCTATCCTTCTGGGATTTCCACGTGGGAGCCTATACCTACTCAATGGCAGAACACCTTTGTTTGGGTGATTCTGGTCATTTGTTATTTTGTAGGCAGTAATCAAATCCCCCCTAAGCCGACGGTAACTAAGTGTGAACAGGCCTAATTTCTTCAGCCTTTCATCATATGGTTTGTTTCGGAGACCAACCACTCCTTTTGTTGCCCGCCGTTGGACTCTTTCCAATAGGTTAGCGTCTCTTCTAGGCATTGGGGGTGCAATAATATTATGCACCTCAAGGTGTGGCCTGACGTATGTTTTGTACAACCTTAGAAAGAGCACGGGAGTGAGTGCGCCTAACTGTCTATTTGTAAAGTGTGTGTCCGCATATGCCGTTGCTACATCCCCCATGTAATTTACGCTTGTGTCCATTTTCTGCGTTAGAACTAGACCTAAGTCGCGTCCCGACGTTGTGCAGGACAAGCTTTCATTGCACAGGGTGCAACTTGCATTCTGCAGTCTACAGGTGCGCAACTTCACTACTTTGCACTTTTTCAGGTTGAAAGTCATGCCACTGGCCACTGCCCAGTCTTCCAGGAGGTTTAGGTCTTCCTGCAGCCTACTGAGTCCTCCGGACACTTTATCGCCCTCCATATCTTTACGTCGTCAGCGTATAGAAGAGTCGAGCAGCACTGACGGCATGGTAGATCATTGATAAAAATCAAAAACGCCAGTGGTCCCAGGATAGAACCCTGCTACACTCCTGATGACGATCTGTGCCAACATGATCGGACTCGGTTAACCTTAGTGCAAAATTGCCTGTCAGCTAGGTAGTCCTTTTGCCATGACAGAAGTGGCTCATCCATACCTGCCTGGCTTATTTTATGTAGGAGAAGGTCAAATGCCTTCTCTGGAATAATAATATTTTATTTCTGGAACAGAAACCAGACATTTTTACAGGCATGAACATACGTACACTTATAATAATAATAATAATGTATATTCTCATATAAACATATAAATTTACATGAAAATGCATGCCATTTTTACAGGCACGATCAAGTATGATATAATATCAAATCGTAGATTGTCTACAAGTTAATAATGTTTCAACAGTTAAATATTTGATATATATATAAATACACATTGTCTGAACTAGGCTGTATAGTTATTGAATTGTACAATTGTCCTCCAGGTTGAGCGGGAAAATCGACTTCGTTTCGTTTTCATCCCGTGGTTGTCGGCATACGATAACCAACCAATATTGAGGTAAGTACAACGTTTACAAGGGATTGAAAGCTGTTTTAGAAAAGTAAAAGTGCTGAGGTGAATCATTAAATTGTAATGAAATAGGTAAGTGCAAGTATCATTAATAAATGCATTAAAAAAGAAAACTCCCTAGGCTGACAACGTTCATTTGCAATGTATAATGCAACACATATACCTCGTACTATCATGATGTCCAATTTTGGTTTTAATACATTTATCCTCAGTTGTGCCAGTTGTTTTTGTTTTATACCTTTTTGTGCATTTAATGTACAACCGTACCCTTCAGAGAGTAGGAATATAATAAGTCATAAAGAGCTGTAAAATGTTAGGTTTAATGGAATATAATGAGGATCAAGTAAAGACGTTATTGGAAAATGAATGAGATAAGACATTGTGAAGTGGTATTTAAAGATCAGTCAATGGACAGCAAGTTAGTTTATAAGATGCCCCATAAAACTGTGCACATCCCACATGGTCGCATCTCAACAATAGGCTGGGCGAATAGTATATATTTAGAGGTAGAAGCATGATCTGTCAAGGCGTTCATTATTATCTTTTTCAAGATAAAGATCTAAGCCCTCATAAAAATCAGAAATATCTCGAGCCTTTAATTTGTATATTGCTGTTCCTGCAGAATGGGGCGATTCACCTTAGTGACCCCCACCATATCTACTGATCAGCTAACGCCACCCTCCCTCCTTTTTTGATGTTAAGCTCTGAGACTATGATTATTATGGCTACCGCAAATAAATTGCTTGGTACCAGACATGTTCGTACCTCATATTCCATCTCCCTAGCTTTCTTAATGAGTGCTTCCAATAGGTCTCCGCGTACATCTTTATGAACATTATATATGTATGCATGCGTCCTAATGAACAGATTACTTTACAAGAAGTTAGAACCTTAAAGAATAAAAAGAATAGGTTTTGTGAATAGTGAAGCAAGATTCAGCAGAACAATATAGTTAGGGATCAATATAGGTAGTATGAACTGAAGGTAAGGTCGGTTGGCAGGACTTAGTGTACTAAATTATCATGACAGTCTTGTATATAGTAGACATCTGACATTGCAAAGTAACGTGTCTAAACATATTATAAAAAGATATTAACAGAACCAACAAAATTTCAGCATTTGTTTAACAATACTACAGAAGGGTAGTTAGTACTACAGGTAATCGTAAAGTAAATCAATCTATGTATAATAAGAGCATAGTCAGTGTCATAATTCGTATTATCAAAGAATACATTAGGCTCAATAACTGAGTGTTATAAGGGAAACAAGCATGGTAAAGCAAGAGAACACTTGCCGCATAGCTATTTTAATCATTTTAAGTATTTTAATGACAATCGAATTTCAAGTATTGAACCTACATAATTACTAAGTGTTATTATATTGGTATTGGGACTAGTGTACTTTCCGTAGTTAAATATTGAAAAGCCATTGTCTCTCCACTCTACCAGCAGTTGAGATCTTTGAGGCGGGCTAGGGTGGACATGTTTATATGTTTTTCTAGGCTCCTTTTGAAACTGTCAGGCCTTTCACAGGATCTTATCTCAGAGGGTAGTTGGTTCCAAAGTTTGCAATATTTAATGGTGAAGAAGTTAGCTCTAGTGTTGAGTTTATGGGTGTTAACCTTGAGAAGGTAGTTGTGGTTGCGTAGTCCATACGATTTAGGATTAGCCCAGGTTATGGACGAGTTACTGTTACAGTGCTTTCTTATAACTTTGAATAAGAGAAATAAATTGCACTTCACTCTCCTTAACCATAAGGGCTCTAAGTCCAGTCGAATACATCTGTCAAGGTATTCTATTTGCTGACCATAGCCTAATATGCGTTTCGTAAGGAATCTTTGGACACTTTCAACTTTTTTCTGTCTGCCGACTTGAAGCTACTGTATAAGTGGGCACAGTATTCAAGTTTGGGGCGAATGCATATCTTATATATGGCTAATCTGGCTTCTGGAGTGTAAAAGTTGCGTAGCACAAAG